AGGAATAGTTTGCATTCTGCAGTCAGAAAAAGTGAGCAACGAGAACGAGCTGCTGGATATTATTCAAATGGATTTTTTGCTCCGCAAACAATTCCCGTCGAATAACTTTCAGCCTCACTGGCTTCAGCAATTCCCGGACGAAAGAAGAGCGCTGATAAGGATGCGACTGAATTCTTATAACTGCCTTTGTTGGGCAGAACTCCAGAAACTCGCTATCATCGGAAGCCAAGCAAGGCGCCGATCAGAAAATTACATAAATCAAATCCAAAAATAACAAAAGTTTCTTCATACAAAAAAAAACAATTTACTCTCAACTTACTCGCACTGTCTTGCTCAGTGCACCGAGAACACTGCATTTTTGCTGGCCGCCACCGTCCGATGTGGAAGCAGCTGATGTTTGGCAGTACAGATCCATGCGCTCCAAGCACTCCCGTGCTGCATCCAGTTCATCGTCGCTTCTGCGAGTTGCCGTCTGCTTATCAAGCAGTGCCTCCCCGGACGACATTTCTTCCGACAGTGCACAACGCCACTGCACCACACAGTTTTCATGCACTTTTCTTGTCGACAGGCCGTTGTATCAGCAGATGCCTACTTCGTCCTGCAATTCCTCAAAGGCGCCTCTGTGGTCAGCATCGGCTGGCATCAGGCGAACTGCGTCGTGCTAAAACGGTGCTGACCACAGGCGTGGGCCCCCTTGCCGCTGCCGACAGGACAGTACTGCACATGCGGAGTAAACGCAAATGGCTGAAAGAGATGAGCGAGGAGCTGAAGCAACGAACCCGGCAAGCATAAGGGGGGCTGGGCCGAGTTCGTCTAAACTCGACGACTGGGATACAGACAGCAATCAGCAGTGCCAGAGAGAGGCGGGCGACGTGTTGCTTCTCCCTACGTAGCTGAAGCACAGGGCTTTGCTTTCATGAACGGAGCAGGAGTTCAGGCAGCAGTAAATAATTGGCCAACGCACGGGCTGTCCGTGAGAAAATGCGTTTTTTGCACTGCTCCCCGCAGATTTTTGTCGCTAACGGCACTGGTTTTCCGGCAGATGCTTCTAATTAAAAGGATTTCAGACTGGCCGGCAAGACTGTCAGGAAACATCCCTTCAAAATCCCAATCTTTCAGCTTCTCACTTTCCCGAGTTAGCAACTTACCCGGAAGAAACTTCCAGGGGCCCGTACGTAGGTACCACGCTTACCCGCGGGCAGGGTTTGAACTCGTTGATACCTACTTGAATGGGGAACATTGCCCTAGGACTTCAGCGTTCCAGCTTCTCAGATCCCCGAGTTATGAATTTACCCGAAAAAAATTTTGGCGGGCCCGTACGCGGGTACCACGCTTACCCGGGAGTTGGGTGTGAGCTCATTAGTACCTACTTGGACGGGGAACATTCCCTTAAAATTTCAGCCTTCTAGCATCTCAGAACTCCGAGTTATGAATTTGCGCGGGAAAAATTTTGGCGGGCCCGTACGCGGGTACCACGCTTACTCGGGGGTTGGGTTTGGGCTCATTAGTACCTACTTGGACGGGGAACATTCTCATAAAACTTCAGCTCTCTAGCTTTTCTGGTTCGGGAATTAGCGGCTTACCTGTAAAAAACTTTGGCGGGCTCTTACGTGGGTACCACGCGGGAAAGACCGCTTATTTTGAGGATCGGGGCCCGTACGTGCATGTAGATTAAGCCCCCAAAGTTTCAGCCCTGTAGCTTTTGTGGTTCTCGAGATGAAAAATCGGTATAGACGCGCAGTGCACACAGACACACACAAACACAGACAACCTCTCGTCAATATGCGTTTTTCGCATTGCATTGCTGCAAAAAACGCATAAAAATGCATAAAAAACGGCCCGCAACTCATCGAGCAATAATTCAGTAGCAAGGCGGCATTCAACATCGACGAGAGAAGTCCGTTACATTCAGTGGAGCAAGGAGAGCAGCGGAGCATCGCGCACGGCCCGACTCCGTGCTAAACTGCTGCGGGCTCCCAGTTCTCAATTCTGCTTCGCCGCGACGGCTTTTCGACCCAATTACCGAGTGAAAAGCAACGAAACTTCAAATCGATGATTTGCTCGACAGACGGATGCCTAGAATCTGATTAATTTTCCCAGGAACTGTTCGTCAAAACGAGCCTTCCATGTTATTTTTCCTGAAGCGAATCAGCGAAAACACGGAGAAAACAAGAAGCAACACATGGGAGAACACACTTCGTACCCCTTTTTAAACCGGTTATCCAAAGGAGCAGGCCAGCTTCCCCGCATCGCCCTGAAATAAGAGGACGGGAGATGATAAAGGAACAAACGAAATATCATGAGCAAGAAGGCATGTCAGGAAGCAGTCACTCCTTAGATGTAAACGCCGGATAGCAGCGAGAATCATCAGCACAGCCATGTACAAGAAGCGCATGTGTCAAATCGATTAAGACTTGAATGAAAGAACGATGTGAAGATGGAGAAGTTATTTTTTGGACGAGTAGCGATGCCGATAACTTTCTTCATTCATTCATCGTCCGTAAGGAAGGCACACTTTTTTTACTGTGAAACCTTATATCAACTTTTCGCAAGAACCAACCAAATCCCCCTTCTCTCCGCCTTGACAAATACCTCCCCCCGCTCCTCTTCCCCTTCCCTTTCAGCTGCCTACAACCTACTCCGCTCCCCACTCCCGCGCTACAACCGCTTAGGTAACTGCTCCCTCCGCGCCACTTTTGCCTCGTTTTTCGCGAAACTCACACGTCTCAAAATCTCTTTAAAGACGTCCTATTTCATGGCCATTATACACGTCCTACCCTCTTCCAATACATTCTATTTTCGTAGAAGGCATCATGGAAAGTTTAATTCAGCTAAACAGGATTGCACGAAAACGAGGCATGCGCGGCTACTCCTGAATGAACGAAAATAATAATTCTCAATTATGGCAGCAGGCAAATCGCAAAGTTGCTGCTTCATTTATTATGAGTGAAAAGACATCTGGGAAAAACTGCTGGAACGAATTAGTGAGAATGATGGGAACAAAGGACAACAGTTTTACCGTAGCTGAATAACAATCCGATCAAATGACACTTTTCTTTGAACTTTCCACGTTGCTGAATCCAAACGCGAGCCGGGGCCATGGCCCCAACTACAAAAGTTTCTTAACACTAGCTGAATCAGATCAGTTGATAATAAATGGCCAACGCACGGGCTGCCCGTGCGAAGATGCGTTTTTTGCAGAGTTCCCCGCAG